GCTTCCTGTAGTCAGCCCCTGGTCAGTTTCAGCAGCAGCGGCTGAATCTGGAGCCAGTTCCGAGTTACGTACAAATTCAACTTAAGAACAAACCTATAGTCCCTATCTTGTACATAACCCGGGGACTGCCTGTAGTTTGTGTTGTGTTTTTTATTCCACAGGCGGGGCTGCTGCAGCACACCACCACTAGTCTCCACTACAGTGCTTCTTATACCCCTGCCTGCGGGATCCCAGTTAACTGGTTAAATGTACTGTTTAACTGGTTAACTTTTTAAATAGGATTTTACATCTCTAGAAGTAGATTGTGCAGGGGAGCAGATTTTTACTGGAGTAGCAGAATGAATCTCAAACTACGGCCTGTGGCATTCTTCAGAAAGAAACAGAGACGGATCGGAGTGTTGGAAAGGGGGTGCTTCCCTGACACACTTGCTCATTTTACAGAGTTGTCAAAAATGAACCCCCTGACCTACTGTGGAAAGGAAGAATTTACAGATTTTTTTTCAAGATTTTGCATGTGAGGGGAGAAGGACAGAGAGCTCTTGAAGTTAATCTGAATATCTTGAGTCTAGTGGTGATAGAGGAGGGTGTGTTAGGAGAAAAGGTGAGAAGTTCCATTTGTGAGATCTTTAGTTGGGAAAACGGCAGACCATCTCAGAGGGGCTAATTGCACATGAGTCAAGGCCTCAGGCAGACTTGCTGGGCCCCTGGGCAAGGTGTGTGTGTAAGTGGGGAGTGAGGCCTCTGTTCCTGGAAGGGGTAGGGCATCAGGTGGAAGGGGTGAGGCTGGGGGGCTGGCCTCCTGCCTGTTGAGCACCGCTTGGGGCTCCAGTGGCAATTTTAAAGAGCCCAAGGCTCCCAATGTTACTGCCACAGTGGCTGTGGCAGCTGGGAGCCCTGGGACTTTTTAAATAGCTGATCCCCTGGCCAGCTGCCCCTTTCACTCCCCCCCTCAGCAGGCCTTACATGAGAAGTCAGGCTGATTCCACTTTCTGACAGTGGTATGCTGTGCGGTGGTTGTGGAGCATATAATTGTCTTGGTTGAGTATAAAGATATTGGTCGCTCTACCATCAGTGAAAGTGCTCCTCAGCTTCTATAAATTTTGACTGCCCAAAAGGCATGATAGTGGCCCTGAACCCATTCCTGCCACCTGTGGAACCATGGGCAGTTTACAGGTGAGTGAAGCTAAGCAGATTGTACTGACTTCTCTATTCTCTCTCTTCCTTTTTCATTAAAGGGTGGCCCCTCTTTGGAGCAGAGATTTGAGTCTTATTACAACTACTGCAATCTCTTCAACTACATCCTCAGTGAGTTATTACGATCCTCTTATCGGTGTGAATTTTTGTGGGGAGGGGAAAAGCAGAAGCTCTGTTGATTGATTGTAGAGGAATTCCATGGTCTTATCTAAGGTAAGAAATTGTGGAACTGGTAGCACTTCACGTCTATCCATCTGAAAATACAAACAATTACAAATCCTGTCCGAACTGCTCTGAGCAAAAGTAAACAATTGGCCACCTTGAGGTCTGCAAATGATAGGTGAGTTATTGGAGGTGTCTTCTCCTCTTGCTGTATAGGGAAAAAAAAATTAAAACTAAACCAAACCTCACTGAGGCTGTGAGCAAAGAGGGTGAAAGATAGAAAGTCACCCATTTGTGAGAGCCTCTTGCACTTATTACTCTATAGTAAGTGTATCAATAACAGTGCTATGCCTGTTTATCCATTTGGGGTTTGAGAGGCTGCTAGAGAGTACTTGACCTTGAACGGGAATAATCTGGGATAGGAGAGTGAGATTTTTTTTTTTGCATTAGATTGTATTAACTTTTCAGTGTCTTACAACCCTCTGTTTTGTCACCAACTAGATGGAGTGCCAGAGTTTGCCAGTTGAGAAACAATGCTGTAGTAGAATATTTAGTAATCAGATACCAAAAGCTGGTCTTTTAAGTCATGAATCCCTTAGCTGCATTTTCCTCAGACAAGGAAGCAGTGGATGCTGCCAGAGCTATTGCATCATCTCTTTTTGTTGGGAGCCTTTCTCAACTGGAGAGTTCTGCTCTGTCTCCACCCTTGAAGGGGAAGGTTACCATGATGCCCATATTTTCACTGCAGCTTTGTCTCGCTGTCATCCTTTCCCTTGCTTGTGGGTGATCACCAGTGTTCTCCTACAGATGCTGATGGCCCTGCCCCCCTGGAACTGCCCAATCAGTGGCTTTGGGATATCATTGATGAATTCATCTACCAGGTATGTAGCCTATTGCCAGGCCTTTACATAGCTTCATTGCTTAAGGCTGTTCAATTCTCTGTCATTCCCTCTTCTATCCCCCATAGTTCCGGTAGCTGATATCTCATATGTGGCATATCCAAAGGTGTGCTCAGATCTGAGGTCCAGAGGAAGGAAAGACCTTAACCTTTTCTCAAGTTATAACAATTCCTTCACATTATTACAGGCTATTTGGGGAACATTGGCATTTTTGCTCACATTTCCATTTGAAGTTCCTGCATCTTAGCTTCTTTCTCTAAAGTGCAACCTCTCCCCCATCTAGATTATGGGAAGCTGCCTGGCTAAAATCATCTAGAGTTACAAAGAACTTGTTGGCATGTTCAGCTACAATAGCCAACCAGTGCAGGGTTTTCCTATATATTGTATGTTTCCCACTTTTACGTTTCTATCGATGGTGTTTGTACCACTTCTAGTTAGAAAAATCTCCAAGTTCACCCATACAGAACAATATAACTGGTCCACAGTGTGAAAACTTGTCAGGAAACATTTTCTGATACCATCTGAAATATCCCTTATTATCCCCCTTCTTTCAGTCCATCAGTCTGTCCTCCCAGATCTTAAATTACTTTTGTTTCTCTGAATTCCCTTGTTTGATTTCTTGGTGTGAAGATGCCTGGCATTGATCATGTTATCTTGTCAAGTTCATGTGGAAAGGGACTGTCACCTCCTTGCTGTGAGCCTCTTTCTCACTTCCACTTCAGTCATGTCTCATTGGGTCTTTAGTGATGCTGATTTCTAGATTCTCGCTCATGCTCAGTATCTGGGCTTTGCATTGTTCTTGCCCTAGGTGCATTGTGTTTGTGTAACTTGTCATCTTGACCTGCTAAGTAATAGTTCAGATGAAGTTGCCTTTGTAACCTGTGGCTTCTTGAACTTCAGTCATATGATAGAACCATAGAGCTGGGCTTTAGATGAGCATTTCTATGCTAGCTCCTCATCTGCTTGGGTGTCTTTTCCTTTTCCCATAGTTCCAATCATTCAGCCAGTACCGCTGCAAAACCGCTAAGAAGTCTGAAGAAGAAATTGATTTCCTTCGGTCGAACCCCAAGATCTGGAATGTCCACAGTGTCCTCAATGTGCTGCACTCCCTGGTGGATAAGTCCAACATCAACCGACAGCTAGAGGTCTACACCAGTGGAGGTGAGAGGTCAAGGTTCCCAAGTATGCTGCCCAAGCCAAGGGCAGTGGTCAAAAGGAAAGGGACCTTAGGAATGGGTAACAAAGTCTTTCTTCTGGAAATTACTGGGTCTGGTCTGAGAGTGGCTGGGGGCTGTTCTGTGAAATGAGCTGAGATGTCTCAATGGTACTTATAACAAAAAAAAACCCCAATCTTCCACAAGCAACAGTATTTGGCACCATTCTTGGCAGCCTCAGCTTCAAGGCCCAGGATTGAGTGGTCCTGAGATACCACTTGCTTCTCATCCAAGCATAAGTGGCAGGTCTGTATATGCTTACACTGCTGCTGATTGTGCTGAGAGGAGAGTGCTGTCTGTCCTGCACTTCTCATCATCACCAAATTCATGCTAAAAATAGCAACAAGCAAGTGCTGTCTGGACTTCTCATGTTGAGCTGTCTGTGTCCCAAGTACAGATCAGAGAAGGCAAATGTACATTGTAGTGCTGCTCTTTGCTGCATGGATGAGACTGCAACATATTAAAAATCAGGATAAATCCTTGTTTGTGCCCCTTGGTTTCCTATTGGTTTCAGTGACTGGTTAATTAAACTCTTAGTTTTGGCAAGTATTACTATGGGAAGGGATAATTATTTGATGTTGATTGGGAAGCAGCACGGAAAGAATGCTGAAGGCTGCATCTTCTGACTTGCCTACTCCTGTGTTGTCCAGGGGGCCAAAATAAATGAGGGGTGAGGAGAGCCTATTCCTTCTCAGGGGAGTCAACAGCCTCCCTGGGGTCCCTGGCAAGGTGTGGGTAGTGGTGTGGCTTTGCAGTCCTGGGAGGGGTGTGGCCTTAGGTGGAAAGGGTGGGAACAGGACAGCCAGCCCTTAGAGAGCTCTCCCCATTCCACCCCTGTCATGTCAGCGGGTCTGTTCCTCCTGTAGGCAGTGTGAGACTTCCTTTCTTTCTAGGTGATCCTGAGAGTGTGGCTGGAGAGTATGGTCGTCACTCGCTCTATAAGATGTTGGGCTACTTCAGTCTTGTGGGGCTGCTGCGCCTCCATTCTCTGCTGGGGGATTACTACCAGGCCATAAAGGTTCTGGAGAACATTGAACTCAACAAGAAGGTATTAAGACACCGACTGTAAATGCTCCCTTCTGGGTTTAGAGTGCCTGTATTTGAAAGGACAGAAAATGCTATCTAAAGGAGTCATCACAACGCTGCTCTGAATGTGGGGTGGGGTTGTTTGCTTTCACAGACATTTGGAGCCAAAATCAGTGTAATGCAGCACTTAGTGCAAATCCTACACACAAAGGTGTCCCTTCATGGCTGCTGTGGCTGTTCTAGCAGGCATACGTGTTGTTGGGTGTTTGCTTTCTGAAGTCTAGTTTGTGGTTTCATGCTGAGGGGAATGTTGATTGCAGCACTATAAACCAAAGTGATGTTGCATTTCTAGTTGAGCTGGATAGCATCTGTTTTCAACACTATGGCATCCTGGTCAGATATTGAGTGGTTGCTGCTTCCCTGCTGGTATCAACCATTCTACCCTACATATCTAATGTTTACTTTAGGCTCGTGCACCCCCTGTGATAGTTGTGGCTAAGGCAGCCTAGCTGCACCATTAGGATGATCACTGGATTGGTCTGGAGTACTGCATGGTATCCATCAGTGTGCTTGTACTGCAGGGTGTGGAATGGGCTACTTAAATAGCTTGCTACGAGGGACTGCGCACACTTTACAGTGTATGGAATTCTAGTGACTGAGCCCGAGGCATATTACTGGTAGGAAGGTGTTCATGTAGGATGTGTTTAGTGTGCTACACAGGTAAAACTAGCATATATGGGATGAAACGAAGCTGAATCCAGTGATGTTTGTTAACCTGTAAATAATCTGTCCAGGCAAGGGAGAGAACTTCTGAACATTAGTGTAGACAAGGAGAGATCAATATAGGGCTGGCAACCATACTCCATTGCCAGGGAGATGGAAATGAGCTGTTAGATCATCCCATCTGTCTTCTGTGATAGATTTCTCACTCCCCTACATGGGAAACAGAGGGCAGCAGATCAACCTTCTTCCTCTATGGTAGGACTGGTTTGCAGACTGATGTAGATGGGTCACCTGAAGGAAAGAGGTGGTTAAAGGATGTTGGGGAGATGTCTGTTGTAGCTTTACATGTCTGTGTGTGTCTTCCTCCCCAGAGCATGTATTCCCGGGTGCCAGAGTGCCAGGTCACTACCTATTACTATGTGGGCTTTGCATACCTTATGATGCGGCGTTACCAGGATGCCATCCGGGTCTTCGCCAACATTCTCCTTTACATCCAGAGGACAAAGAGCATGTTTCAGAGGACTACCTACAAGTATGAGATGGTAAGTTAGGAAGGGAGGCCAATGCACTATTCTTCTCTTATCATCCTTGCCCTCGCTGCTGCTGCTGCTAGTGTTGATCACTTTGCCCTTAACCTTCTGTCTTCCCTTGGCTTGTGTGGTAATGTTCTTTCTGCGTCTCCATGGTTGAATCGTTGACCTTCCCAGACCCACAGAATTCAATCTACAGAACCCCTTCTTCTCTGTCTACATGCTATCTCTGGGCAACTTTATCCACTTAAATATTTTTAGTTCCATCTTCTTGCTGACAAGTATCAGAGGGGTAGCCGTGTTAGTCTGAATCTGCAAAAGCGACGAAGAGTCCTGTGGCACCTTATAGACTAACTGAAGTGTAGGAGCATAAGCTTTCGTGGGCAAAGACCCACTTCGTCAGATGCATGTTGACGAAGTGGGTCTTTGCCCACGAAAGCTTATGCTCCTACACTTCAGTTAGTCTATAAGGTGCCACAGGACTCTTCGTCCCTTCTTGCTGACAGCTCACCAGTCTGCATTGCCATTTCTGACCTGTCTCTTTCCATCCAATCCTGCATTTCAGCCTTTCTCAGTTCTTGGATATCTCGCTGTTGAACCCAGGCATTTCCCTTTTGTCTTAATTCCTACTCTCCTGTTCTTTCACTGTTGACAACCCTAGGTTCTGCATCCTGATAGATCAATCATTTGACTTCTCCCTCTCACTCCTCATGTATCCAGATTCTACTGTTCTGGCCTTGGCTTCATGTGGCGCTGCCGCTTTAAAGCACCCTCTCCTCTTCCTCCCCCGCCCCTTGCTGCCTCTTTCTGATAGAGGTGGGGGGGAGAAGAGGGAGAAGTGACTAGTCATTCACATCCCTACTCACCACATTGTGTCTTGGATTATAAACACTTTTGGGAAAGGGCATGTGTCTGTACTATGTGGCACCCATGTCTCTTCTGGGTGCTGTAAAATAACAGAGGGATGGCATCTAATGACTCTTCTCTGTCTCAGATCAACAAGCAGAATGAGCAGATGCATGCCCTTCTGGCCATTGCCCTCACCATGTACCCCATGCGAATAGATGAGAGCATCCACCTACAGCTAAGGGAGAAGTATGGGGACAAGATGCTGCGCATGCAGAAGGGTGACCCACAGGTGTATGAGGAACTCTTCAGCTACGCCTGCCCCAAATTCCTCTCCCCCGTGGTTCCCAACTATGACAATGTGCATCCTAACTACCACAAGGAGCCTTTCCTGCAGCAGTTGAAAGTATTTGCCGATGAGGTACAGCAGCAGGCCCAGCTGTCCACCATCCGCAGCTTCCTGAAGCTCTACACCACCATGCCTGTGGCCAAGCTTGCTGGCTTCCTGGACCTCACAGAGCAGGAGTTTCGCATACAGCTGCTAGTCTTCAAGCATAAGATGAAGAACCTGGTTTGGACCAGCGGCATCTCAGCCTTGGATGGGGAGTTCCAGTCAGCCTCTGAGGTTGATTTCTACATTGACAAGGTCGGTCTCTGTCTTTTTTCCTTTGCCCCAGACCTGTGAAACTGTGATCAAAATTCATATCCGTCTATGGGATACATGACTTCTCTCATTTCATATTCGTAATTATGATCTCATTCTCAGACTGGGTTCAGAGTGCTGTGTGAAGCCAGAGTTTGCTGCTCAACAGTGTCATTAATGGAGAGGTGGCTGTGTGCCTGGGCAAGCTCTTTGCCTTCCTTTGGCCCATGCCACTAGAAACACATCAGATCTCTTTGCCTGAGTAAATAGATCCCCAATATTCCTGTTCCAGAGTGGGGGAGCCCTCTCCCTCTCGCTGATCCTGGACAGGAAATGTTTCAATAATAGCTCAAGACTTCAACTTAAATGCAGTGTCTGGAATTGGCCAGCTTTCAGTGCCTGCCCTGCCTATCTCATTTCACCAACAGTGGAAGTCATGCTTGGCCATGCTCTGTTACAAAATAAGCCGTTAGCTAAGAACTGAGGGTGGGTAGAGCTAGCACATGCTGTGTTGGAAATCTGGACCAAAAAAGGATCCAACTGCAGCTTTTTCTCTGAAGCTCAAGGCTAGCAGGTGCCCACAGGAAGAGAAAAAAGTCCTTCCTACTGTTGAAGCAAAAGCCTCACTCAGTTTACGCGGCTAAACAGACAGTTTTATTGGCCAATAAAAGCAAAGTGAGCTAAACGTGGTCCCAGCAAAGCCGGGCCCAGTGAAGCTGCTTAATACAATCAATCCTAGTATCTTTATATCCTTGACCAAACAGCCTGACGTCAGGGAATCCAATTACAGAAGTCATCAATTAAGCTAGGAAAAATAAAGCCTTGTCAACAAGATGGCGGACAGGTACGAGGGAGTACCTCTGCTATCTAAACCAGCCCAATTAACACATTCCAATAGCACATCTGTCTTGGCCTGGCACATGGGGTGATAGAAAGGTCACTCTAGTCTACCTGCAAAGGCAAAAAACTGAAATGGTTTCTGTTATACAAGATGGCTTCTAGCTAAACATAAAAATGGTTTCTACACTACTATGTGGTGAGGGCCTCCAGGTCCATTACCATTTGGCTCATTAAAGAAGATTCCCTCTTCCCTGCCTGAATCTTGTCACGGAGCCTAGTGGGTAGAAAGGAATAAGGATTGTCACTTCTAGCCTCTTGGACCTTGAGTTAGCCTTCTCCCTGCCAGATCTGGTTCTTGCCTTGTGTGGCCTACCCACCCCAACCAGTAGAACTGCCATTTGTCTCCCTAGGATTAAAGAAGCATTAACAGGAGCCCTGCTCCTTAGCTGCTGCAAGTGGGAGGCAGAGTGTGAACCAGCTCTTGCAGGGAAAGGCTACTTTGAAAGGCCTGATTGCTGTGACTTAGTTCTAAGGGCAGTGGAGGGGTATCTCTGACATGGATCTTGAGCCTTGGTGGATCCTTTTCCCCCAGTACTGCTGCTGTGTACCCCACCATTAACTCTGCCCATTTCCTGACTGCTCCATGTTCTCTCGGCAGGACATGATCCACATTGCGGACACAAAGGTCGCTCGGCGCTATGGGGACTTCTTCATCCGCCAAATCCACAAGTTTGAGGAGGTGAGCTCTGGGTAGCTAGGGCAGGGGACTCGGATCAATTCCTGATGGGAAGTCAGGGGAAGGTTTAGGACTCTTTGGAGAGTGGGGCAGATGTCAGTGCAGAGAAGGGAGGTTTCTGTGTGATGACCCAACAGCTGAAATGTTTCCATTCAGTGACTCACCAAAGCTATTAGGAAGACTGCAGGAACCTCCCTTAGAGCTTAACAAAGCCTGTATTCTAAACAGCCAGATGGTGACCTTTGAGGGAAGGACGTACTCCTCTGTTGTGTCCCAGCATGATCACTGTCTTGGCTGCAAAATGGGAGGGGAAGGAATTAAGTCAAGTCATTTAGTGGCGCCACTAGAGAGAGCAGGAATTATCTGCTCTGACCGGTAAAGAGACCATTTCAAGCTATTTATTCCCCGTTGTGGTGTTCTCCCACATTGTTCTGCTATGTTTTTCTGCCACCTCATGGGGGCTCAAATTCAACAGAGGAGACAGCTAACAGATTTCCATTAGGAATGCCAGTGGGAATCCATTATGTTCCCCATCCTCTGTAGGGCAGGAAGGGCCCTTCTGAAGGCCTGGAGCCTGCTGCTGGAGCAGCTTTATAGCAAGGACCAGAACATGCAGTTTCTGCCCCATTCTACCAGCAGGGGCCACTGCAGGACCAGTCATATCCAAGTGCTCATTGCAGAGAGAATGTCAACTGTAATAGAAGCAGGTCACCCCATTCCTTGCCCCGTCCGTTATACCTTCTCATCCTGGCTCTCCCCCGTTACAGCATGGGGAGGTTTTTACTATTTCCCCTCCTTACTGTTAACAAACACTTACTGCTGGCTCAGGGCATTTGCGCATTTGGATGTGGGAGTGCTTGGAAAGGTGTGTTCCCCCCTCCCCCCAACTCCCCTCTCTGGAACAGGCTGTTTCTTTTCTTTCAGCTGAATCGAACTCTGAAGAAGATGGGCCAGAGACCCTGAAATGTCTACTCACTGTCACCAGGCCGACCGGCAATGAGGAGGGAAAATTATTGTATTTGCTGCAGGGTGGGAGATTAAGAATTCTGGCATTTTTGGACTCTCTTGTAGTGCTGAAGTGTCCTCTAGGCAAGCTGCTCAGCTCACAATACCACAAAGGACTGAGATTAACTAATAAACAATTGAGTTCTTCCCCTGTGTTTTCAGTACCAGAGACAAACTGCTCTTTAGGAAGAGGGATGGCTGAATTCTTGGGCTGCTATCAATGTGTTCCCTTTCTCACAGCCTTCCCTCTAGGCAACAAGGGTAGGGGACAGGCCACTTCCCTGCTTTCTAAAACTCCTATGAACACCAAGAATCCAGAATACTGTAGGATTAGTAGATAGACAGGGGTACGCTGATCAGACATCCTGATTTTTCCGGGACAGTCCTGAATTTAAATAACTGATCAGACATCCTGATTTGTCCGGGACAGTCCTGAATTTAAATATTCTGTCCCAGTGTCCCCATCAAGTAGTGAAGTGTCCTGGAAAGCCCTGCCTGACATTTCACTACTTGATGGGGACATCGGCTTGTGGGAAGAAGTGATGGATCTCAGCAGCTTCCTCCCCTCACCACTGCCCCAGGAGGGCACGTAGGCAGCTCCATTGGATCTTTGCTGGTGGGCAGCCAGGCAGGCTTCCGGTAGCATGCGACCCCTCTCTCCCTCCCCACCCCCCTTCCCTGAAGGGACCGCCTATGCCACGCAGGGTCCTGGTCTGGCGGCACCACCTCCTCCTCCTCCTCTGGGCCACTTGTTAGTACAGTGGCTGGGTGGAGCCACTCCTGGGCCTCTGCCTTGCAGCCCTGCAGAGCCCGGCTGGAGTGCTGCAGGGCGGGGTGTGCTCGGGCTTGGCAGGTGCCAGAACTGCAGCAGGCAGCAGCATGCGGTGCTATTTTTAGTACTGCAGGCGGCCCCCGCTCCAGCTGGAATCAAGCAGCAAATAGGGGGGCGTTCCAGCCGGGGAAGCCTTACCAGAAGGGGCCTTGTGTGGCTGTCACATGACTCCTGCTGGAGCTGGGCAGCCCATGGGGACCTGGACCATGGTACTAAAAATAGAATCACGGGTGGCCTCTGTTCGAGTCCCAACACACAGTCCCTTTCTGGGAGCCGTTGGGGCCAGGCTAATATACTAAAAATAGTACCATTGCCCCGCCACTGGCCCCCACAAACTGCTTTCCATGTCAAAGGTAAAATGTGAGGGAAGGGGCAGGGGGACAACTAAAGTTGGAAGTAGGCATGAGAGAGAAAGGGGCTTGGGCTGAAAGGAGTGGGGGCAGGGCAGGAGAAGAAAGGGGAAGGTATCAAGGGCCAGGGTAGAGGAGAGACAAATGCCAGGGTGTCAGAAGAGACAATGAGGAAAGGTAGGAGAGGAGGGAAGGTGTCAGTGGGGGTGGAAGAAGGTAGGGGACAGGGTGATGCTGGGAGAGGGGAGCAGTGGATGCCAGGAGATGAGGGGTTGAAAGGAGGGGTGGGTGTGAGGAAGATGGGATGGAGCAAGTCATGTGTTAGGGCACAGAGAGGCGTGAGGGGAACTGGGGCAGAGGGTGGGCACCAGGGAGAAGGAGGGTGAGGGCAGGTGCTGGTTTGAAGCACCAGGAAGTGTAGGGGTAAGGGAAGGTGCATGTGCCAGGGGTAATGTGGGGGTGAAGCAGAAGGGTAGACACATGGAGGGGTGGGACTGGCAACAGGACAGAGGAGAGAGGCAGGGCAGGTGGGTAGAGGGAGGTGTTAGGAGAGGGGATGGGGAGAGAGAGCTACAGATGATCAGAGTGGGGCTAGAGGAAGAGTGGATACAGGGGGAAGAAAGGTCCCCAAAGGGCTGAGGGGAGTGAGATGGGCAGGAGTCAGGACAGCAGAGGAGGGTGAGAGTAGGAGGGGCAGCAGGCACCAGGGGGGCAGATGGGGTGAGGGAAGGGTAGGAGACATGGCATCAGAGTGAAAAGGGAGAGGTTTATAAGATATTTATTAACTCAGGTGCCACAGTGGTACACATCTGAACAAGCGCACATGAACTCAATACTGGTGCACAAGACAAAATTCACTCCTCATGAGAGGAAAATCTTGAGGGGACACTTCCCCCAGCCTCTCCTCCTGAGTTAATGCAATGCAAGTTGGGTTAATACAATTGCAGAATAGTAGCATATGGGGTGGGCGAGTTCTGTGGGAGCCAAACCCATCCCTATTGGTTGGAGTTCTTAGATGAGTCCCATGACACCCTTTACTTCAGTTTGTGTCCATCTTGACCCTGGGAGTACTCTTAAGGGTACGTCTAGACGACATGCCTCTGTCGCCAGGGGCATGTAGATTAGGCTACCAGACATAGTAAAATGAAGCGGCGATTTAAATAATCGCCGCTTCATTTAAGTTTACATGGCTGCCGCGCTGAGCTGACAAACAGCTAATCAGCTGTTTGTCTGCTCAGCGCGGCAGCCATGTAAACTTAAATGAAGCGGCGATTATTTAAATCGCCGCTTCATTTTACTATGTCTGGTAGCCTAATCTACATGCCTCTGGCGACAGAGGCATGTAGTCTAGACGTACCCTAAGGGTGGGACTGCATGGCAGGGGGCGTGGCTAATGTGTCCCCAAGTTTGTTTCAGTATGGGTACCATAGGTAGGGGCTACTAGTCATGTGGCCTGGGGCTGGAGGAGTTTATATATCTAATTGATCATCCATTCTCTCGCCTATGCTCCTATCTGCAATTTAAACAGCCAATGACTGTTTTTTTTGCTGGTTTGAGGTAAAAGGGCCTGATGACTTACTAAGAGGGTGGTGTGTGTGTGTTGTGTGGTGTTTTTTTTTTTTTTTTTTTTTTGGATTCTGTTTGTTTTTACCTCAGGAATGTTAAGTCTGTTCTGATTGGATTTGGGTTTTCTGGAGACTCAGCTGGTGGTCTTGCAGACAGCATGGTATATGAGGTCCTCTTTCCCACACATTCACTGGGGTCTGGGGAAATGTTTTGCCAATACCAATTGATAGAGAAGGAAATTTAAAGTAAATCTATGTTTTGACCTGTGCTAATTTCTCTAGTTCTCCAGTCACCAGCTCCTCCCCAAGGCTAGCCAAGGTTTGCATATCTGATAGTTCTGCTTTTAAAAAAAATAAAAATCTTGGGCATTACTTGAATAGGCGCCCCAAGGCTAGCCAAGATTTGCATATCTGATAGTTCTGCTTTTTTAAAAAAAAAAAAATCTTGGGCATTACTTGAATAGGCTAATGAAGCAAAAAAGAGCCAGCCCTATTTTTTTCTGCTTGCAGACAATCTTTAAATAGTTTGAATGAAGCAACAGGTGCAAGGGAAGGACCTTTGGGTGAAGAGAAAGCATGTGCCATATGAACAATTGTTAGTACCCATTCCTGTCTAAGAGGGTCTTTGCAATCAGCTGTTGGTTATTTAACATACTATTTTCTGTTTAGTGTTCTGCAAGAATTAGATTTCATTTTTTCCCCTTATTTGACCGATGGGTGTGTCTAATACAAGGCACTGTCCAAACATAAAATATATTTCCTACCCCCCAAAGAGGTCAGACTCTGAGAAAACAGGCAACCTGGCAAGAGTGGAAGGGGAGAGGGCATCAATCATTTGTACTGATCTTCCTCCTAGCTGCTATTAGTTGGCATTTTCTTGTAGATATCACACTACAAGTGGGTCTTGAGGGATTCAAAGAGGAGATGGTATAGCCCTCATGCCCCAGTATAGGGAGGGTGTACGAATGCATCTGCTGGCTGTGGGGAAAGAGCCAGATGCAGGTACATGAGGCTGGCATTGCTGGACCATGGAACATCTGCCACTAGTAGCAGAGTAAGTAATTATGGCAGTGCACAGTGCCCCTTCTGTGACCATTTGTGCAGAGCATCCAACACTAACATCTTTCTCAAAATGGGCTGAGGTAGAACTGTGGAGTTACTGAGCTACTCTTATTTTTCCAAAAAGTGTAGTGGGAATCTCAATTTCCCTTGGGCCAGCAGCCAACTTCAGTGGACAGCAGCATATTTGTTTCACCATCTCTTCTGCAGAGAGACATCCACCACGGCAGTACCTCTGTTTAGAGTAGCAAACAAATGCAATACCCGTTTTCTGTAAAGCAAGAACTGCCAGTGGCACCCCGCCTACTCCTAATCTGTCACTGGTATGTTAGGATTATAGACACTCTAATTGTACATGTGCTCTTAAACCTTAAATAATTAGTCATATGCATTGTTTTCAGATAGTCAAATATGCCACTTCCTCAGCTTGCATCTGTCAAAAGATTTGCTCATGATGCACATAATGTATCTGTTACTCACTTGCAACCAGTGTGACTGGTTCTGTGCCCTCAGAGAGGAGGCTGCAAAAGGTTAAATGATGGGGGCTGGCTTTGTGGAAACAAGCCAAAGGAACTGCAGTCCTAGCATAACGTGGAAAGATGGACTCAGCCAGACATGGTGCCTGGCACTGTCTGAAACTGGAGAAATGCAGGGCATTCAGCAGCAGAGTCAAACTGTTGGAATGTCACTAATGCTGTTCTGGAAGCGAAGGGGGAGATGGCTTTGTTATAATCCCTACCTTCAGCCTCATTTGACTCTAGCCCACGGTGGCAGTACTGGCCAAAAATCAATGGGCCATCAGCACAGGATCACAGACGGGATACTGGGATAGATCAGTGTTTCTCAACCAGTGGTACGAATACCCTTAGGGGTACTCGAAAGAAGACTGGGGAGGTACATCAACACCACTGAAATTTGGAGAAAATGGAATTTTTGTTTTAAGTTTTACAGCACTTTATTATTTTTGTATTTTTTACACCCAAAAATCGCCCACCGGGCTATGATTAAGTTGTTTAAACAAATGTGTTGAATTGGTAGAAAAAAATGTGTCTGAAAAGTGTAAAAGGTCCTGGGGGTACTTATAATTTTTTTTAAAGTGGTACTTTATTTAAAAAAAAAAAAAAGTCGAGAAACACTGGGCTAGATGGACCTTTGGCCTGACCCAGCATGGTTGTTTTTATGTTCATTTTTGGCTAATTTATTATTTGCCAAAAAGAACTAGGCAGACTCCATAGAGCTCAGGAACAAGGACTGCAGGCAATTGCTCTGCTTCTCAGCAGTAATAACTGCCTGCAGCAAGAGGTGTCTCAAACTTCACCACCTTCCGCTCCAAGTGCGGAGTCCTCTTTTTTTTGATCTGACGTTTACCAATCAAATATATAATACAGTGTATGTATGCATTTAAAATATCTTCACACCATTTCCTCTTGAGTTGCGGACAAGAGACAGGAAGAGCCATATTTACAAGCTATTAGTCATGTTGCTTAATGCACTACTGGAAGATGTTCATATACCACAGTGATGAAGGCTGTACTAGAGCCAGGACAGAACATCAGGAATCACTTACTAACAGTGTGGTCTATTACACTGTGGAATAGCATCACCAGAAAAGCAAAGGAAGCTTCACTATTTGGTAACATAAAAGGCTTTGGAGAGTTTACTTCAGTTAACTACCTTGCTGGGCTGTGTGGGGGTGATGGAGATGATGTGGTCCAATATGCAGCCCTATGCTCTGAGTATCCCTAGTCTCTGTTTGCCATGCCAGAAACTGGGTGTGGACTACAGGGGAGGGATCATGTGATAATTGCCTGTTCTGTTCATTCCCTCTGAAGTACCTAGCACTGGTGGAAAGTCAGGATACTAGGTAGATGGACCATTGACCTGATCCAGTATGGCTGTTCTTATGTTTATTCCCATCTCGTACTACTTGGCTATGTCTACACTCGCAGCTTCTTGTGCAAGTATGGCCGTTCTTGCGCAAGAACCCGCAGAGCGTCCACACTGCCTGCCTGCTCTTGCGCAAGGAAATTTACAGTACGGCGTGGTATGAGAGAGCTTCTTGCGCAAGAGCTATGCTCTTTTTTTATCAGGTGTAAGCCCTCTTGCGTAGGAGCTCTTGTGCAAGAGGGCAGTGTGGACACTCAGCAGGGATTTCTTGCACAAGAAAGCCCTATGGCTAAAATGGCCATCAGAGCTTTCTTGCGCAAGAGAACGTCCACGCTGCCATGGGTGCTCTTGTGCAAAAGCACAGCTTGCACATGGCAGTGTGGACCTTTTCTTGTGCAAGACTTCTTGCACAAGAACTCTTGCGCAAGATGTTCTTGCGCAAGAAGACGCCAGTGTAGACATAGCCGTTGAGTGCTGTGGATTAGCAAAATGACAAAAAGCTCATAGCTCCTCATTCCTGAGATTGGTGTGGGCTATACTGAGGGGTTAAGACAGTATAGAGGATGGCCAAGCAACAAAATACTCTTCCTAGCCCCAAAGACTTAAACTGTCTGTTCCTCTCACGTTGATGTTTTGAAGGTCAGGAGCCATGTTTAAAGTTTGTTTGGGATCTGTTGGCATTGCTTTGAGGCTATGTCTACATTGGCATGATCTTGCGCAAATACTCTTTAACACAAGAGTTCTTGCATTAAAGTATTTGCGCAAGAGAGCGTCTACACTGGCATGTGCCTTTGCGCAAGAGATGTGCTTTTGTGCAAGAGCATCCGTGCCAGTGTAGACGCTCTCTTATGCAAGAAAGCTCCGATGGCCATTTTAGCCATCAGGCTTTCTTGCACAAGAAATTCATGTTACCTGTCTACACTGGCCTCTTGCGCAAGAACAGTTGCGCAAGAGGGCTTATTCCTGAGTGGGAGCGTCATAGTTCTTGCACAAGAAGCACTGATTTAACACATTAGAACGTCAGTGTTCTTGCGCAAGGACTCCCCGCCAGTGTAGACAGGCAGCATGTTTTTGTGCAAAAGTGGCCACTTTGTCACAAGATCATGCCAATGTAGACACAGCCTGAGTCTGAGGGTTGCATGGCATTCCTTTGATAGAATCCCCAGGCACCTAAAACATGAGTCTGAGGGTTGCATGGCGTTCCTTTGATAGAATCCCCAGGCACCTAAAACATCTACCCCAGTCCATGATTCAGTACTTTTTGCAAATAAGTTCTGAAACCTCATTGCAGGATCCATAAATTGTCTCCACCAAAGGTAGGGGGTATCCTATACAGTGTGCAGAGGTAGGAATATTACACCTATTCTGTCGTAAGATTTTCCATTGTCAGTCAATGAGTATCCAAGACACCCTATTGGAACTCAGGAGACCTGAGGATGCATTGCCAGCTCTGCCGTTGATCTGCACTGTGACTGTAGGTAAGTCACATCATTTCTCTGAGCCTCCATTTCCCCATCTGTAAAACAAATTACAATACTCACCCTCCTTTGTGAAGTGCTTTCAAATGTTGGGGGAGAAGTACTACAAAAAACCAACCTACTATTAAACTCTGCCCCAAGTACTTTGTTCACATCCTGCCTGTAGGGTATGGGCAATGAAATATTTTCAGCACACCAGAAAGCAGTGGAGGAAGTGCACAGAGCAGGCGCCAATAGATTGCAAAAGGAATTGTGGCTTGCAGTGGTATGCTTTATTAATACTAGGTTGAGAGCAAACCATGCTCAATCAGGACATTCCATTCTGAGGTAGCAAATGCCTAGAGAACTGGAAGAACAGGCCCGAAGCATGGAGGAGGCAGGGCTGGTAGTTGTCTAGGGCAGCAAAATGTTTAATAGCTGGCTGGCTGCAGTCCAGTAAGACTGTGGGAGTTCAGGAGAGTTAGTAGTTTGCTTATGGCAGCAGAATGACTCAGGCTCTGTAGATGTGGGGGAAAGGAGAGACATACTGTATATCCTAGATTTCCAAGCTACCCATTCTCCTCTCCCTCCTTCGGCTCCAAATGCACCACAATATCCCTATTGTTTAGACAGGGTGCCTGTTACGCACAATCCTGCTGTTCTCTCCAGCTGCCTGAGGGAAGGAGCTCAAATTAGGCCATCCATGCCAGACTACTGACTTTGGATGCAAGGTATTGCCCATTTTTCTCCACTGGACTAGTAAGGAGGAAGGGAGAGGGATCTCCAAAACAGCACCAACAAAACACATGCCCTATCACACCCAGTCTGAGTCATACCCTGCTCCGGTCTCTGATTTGGTTGCAGGGTTTCCCCATACTAGACATACATCTCCCCTGCTATCAGATGCCCTCATGTGTGGTTTTAAGTGAGACTGTAAACGCCCTGTGACCGTGACTTTACTGTGTGGTAAGCACCTTGCACCCCATCTGGGGCTGTATACACAATGTAAATAAAATATCCTTATCCGTAACCTGTAGAAGCCTTTCAAACTATGACCGTGAGAGTGTAACTTCATAACTCTGCTAAACACTATCCAATCCGTGGACTGACTGAACAGACACAGTGTATTTAGGATTTATTACAATTTGAAAGCACTAGCCTCCCCTTTTTTCCCCTAGGCCTGTGAGAGGTGTTAGTGGACACCCTACCCTGAATGGTTTCTCACTAGGGCTCACTATTTAACGTCGTTCCACGTGGCTGGGACTAGATTTCCCAGCCCTCAAGAGCGCCCTACAGGTCCAAAGCGTCCCTCTCTCACCAACAAAAGAGGGGCCAATAAAAGCTATTACCTCGCCCACCTTGTCTGTCTAATATCCTGGGATCCACATGGCTACAACAACACAACATGCAACTAACTGTTCTTGCCTGCTTGTGTTATACGTGAATAACAAAAGTAAAATGACTCCTCTATGGTTAAAAAGATCCCTGAATCCTGTCCAGAGCATGGACCTGTATAAACACAAACCATATTTGCAGTTCTAGAGCATACAGCTTAGAACATTGCATGCCCTGCACGGAAAATACGTGTTATCGAGTTAAGCACAAGAAATAAATGAACGGAAGGGGTGGAATGTACAGTTCTTTCCCCCACCACTTCCCAAAGCACTGTCCTTTTTATTACTATTGCTGTGTCGCCAGTCTCTGAGCTATTGGTCCTAGCGCTGGGTGGCGGATTTAAAAATACATTAGATTTTGGCTGCTGCTGGTAGCTTCTGGCTTGAGGGCTGGCAGGTGGGATGGAAACAAAGGGAACCGCTTTGTGAGGGTGCTGTGCTTCCTGCCTAGCTCTGGTAATCACAGATGCCAAAAGGTGGGGGTTGTAGAGCTGTAGGGATGGGCACAGCTGCCTGTTAGCCTATCCTCCCCAGCTACATGGGCTGGGGCAGATGCTGAGGATTAAAGAATCTACCCAGAGAGTTGTTTCCTTGAAGCTGATAGTCTGCCACCAGTCCTGCTCCGGCATACTCCCATTGTGCCCTGTGCTGCAGCCAGCCTTGGGAGATGGCTAAGCAGCTGCCTCTTTCTTCACTCAGCGCACAGTCAACCTGTGGAACTCCTTGCCAGCACCGGCCCGACCTGCTGTGAGTACCAGGCCTGGCCGCGCCGGGCTCGCCTCAGCCCCCACCCGGCCACCGCCGGGGCCGCTCGGGGACTCCGCCCCGGCTCCTTCACGGGGGGCGGAGGCCACACCGGGAGCCTAGGGGACTGGGGGGGACCCTGGGAAACGCCCTGGGACAGCGCGCCCAGCTCCTTGGGACAGAGGGAGAGACGCCGGGAGCCCGTCCTCACACCCGCGCTGTAGGGAGGTGCCCCCGAGACCCAGAGTGTAGGGGAGGGAGCCGTGGTGCATCCCTGGGATATAGGAAAGGCGAGGCCACGCGCCTGGGAGCTGGTGCAAGGAGCTCTGGGACCCCTCCTGCCCGTAAAGGGCGTTAAGAAAGTGGGTTTGTTTGTCCTGGGATTTAAGGAGACTGAAGGGCAGCGGGAGACATTAGGTGGGGAGAATAACTAACGAGGAGTGGGGTGGGGTGCTGGGCGACCGGCTCCTGGGCGCACCTCAATCATTTCCTAGGCTGTAAGGGGGGGTTCTTTCACACTTACTGCGTCCGACCAACCCCATCCCTTGGAATTTAATAGTAACTACACGTTACATGTGACTAGGAACTCTGAGACATGGATCTGAAAACACTTTATCATCCTTATGAGTTAAGCTTCAGAGTCTCCATTAATTATTACTCTGGCTTTGCTGAGGCACAGAGAGATTATTTGACTTGCCCACATTATTCCGTTTGTGGCAGAGTTTGGGAACAGAACCCAGAATTTTTTTGTTCCCAGTCCCCCTGCTAATCATGAGACAAACCACTCTCACATTTGAAAAAAATAAATAGTGAAGGAAAAGTGAGGCTTCGGGAAGGTGCCATAATGCCTTTCTCTGGAACCGTCTCTATCAAATTGTAGAGCAGGGTGTGGAATCTTTTTTGGGTCAGGGGCCACTGACCCACAGAAAAATCAGTAAAGTGCTGCAGCACACAAGTGAAAAGAAAAGCCCAATCTCACTAGTGTGGGCTCCCCAATGCTGGGAGGAGCCCTGAGCCTTAGGGACTGGATCCAGGCAAGCTGGGAGCTGCATCCAGTCCCCAAAGTCTTAGAGGATCGTCTATGGCATTTTTGCATTTATTTTGAAATTTTCCAGAACTGTCTCAGTCAATAAGATTCTTCCTTTAAAAACTTCCAACAGTAGTTTTTAAATGTAGCATATATGGAGCAAAGCACTGGAGAATATGATGTAGGGAACAGTCCTGCACTGGTCACAAATGATAGCCGGACAAAAGTTACCTAATGGGGCGAGAGACAGCTCAGTAGTTTGAGCATTGGCCTGCTAAACCCGGCGTTGTGAGGCTATTTAGGGATTTGGGGCAAAAATTGTCAGGGATGGTACTTGGTCCTGCTGTGAAGGCAGGGGACTGGATTCAATGACCTTCAAGGTCCCTTCCAGTTCTAGGAGATAGGCAATCTCCATTTATTTAAAATTTAAATTTAATTTAGGTGTCCTTTGTAGGTTATTGTGATTCTGTATATTTCAGTGGAAGAGGGTTGTGTTCTGTTTCAGCTTCTTCCTGACCTAATTAAATGCCAGGGAGTAGGGCATACTACTTCAGCAGGGGACTTTTTGATCTTGGGCTAGGGGAAGCTGAACTAGTACAATGCTGTGCTGAATGACAGAAATTAATTAAGAGGACAGAGGAAAATAGCCACTAGGGCTTCCTACCGTGCTAACAGCTTGGAATTTAGTATCCTCTGCACTCCTTTCGCAGAGGGCTCTTGGGTAGAGGGGGGTGGATTAAGAGACAGGTTAATGAGAGGGATGGAAACAGGTGAGTTTGGGAGTGGGCTTGCTGGGGGTGATGATCTTCTCCCAGAGAAACCATATAGGCAGGTGAGATGATTCCTCCTCCTCCCCCCGTAAGCTGCATGCTGTGTACACCTGTCTGTTACAGTCTTTGCTGTGACTAGTGAACTGATGCTCTCCCCTTGTGGTTAGTACATACAGTTCTTCTCACTGTAGACAAGTGTCTGAAATCTGACACATGGCTCTCCATGTTCCTTCCATAACCAAAGCACTTATCTTACCACCCCAGCTGAGGTTGCTTCCCACAATAGGCCAGGAATGTTAACTTGTTTATTTTTGTGAACGTGTAACAGCTGACTTTTTTAGTGGCTACACTTTTACATGCAGGGGGGACAGGTGAGAGCCAGTGTTTTGATAGAGAGGCAGCAGCGTGGTGGGGCACATGGCTCTGCAGGTGCTGGCACACACATGAGCCAGCTTGATACAGAGGCAGCAAGGTGTGTGTGTGTGCCTGTAACTGTTAGGATTATCAGTTAATCATGTCCCAACAAAGATTGGTACCCAATCAGTGTTCCCTCTAATTTTTTCCATTCATGTGCAGAATAAAATTTGTTATGTGCACCAAGGCATGTGAGAATGTGCACTCCTGGTAGAAACATATGCTGCTAGTTGTGGGCACTTTGCTAATCAGCTGGGCGGCATGTGAATCTTTCCTGGGTGGCTACCCAAGCACACAGCTAACAGAGAACACTGTATGCAATTAATAGGAGAAACTGTTTTAATTTTAATGCAGCTGAGGAGCTGCTGCACCCATCCTATTACAGAATGGGCATGTATAGTTAGGAGAAGGTGCTATCTGAACAGAGACCAGCCCTATTGCCTGCATATTTCAGGAGTCAGCTGCACAATGCTCAGAAAACTAAAGAGGCAAACTAAAACAGGGACAAGCATCAGAGGGGTTGCTGTGTTCGTTTGTACCCAACAAGGAGTCCTGTAGCACCTTAAGGACTAAAATTTATTTGGGCATAAGATGTTGGGGGCAAAAGTGGTGCTGATGAAGAGGGTTTTTGCCCACTAAAGCTTATGCCCAAATAAATGTGTTGGTTTTTAAGGTGCCGCAGGGACGAGCAGCAATTCTTACCGTGGTCTGTGCGCGTTGTTTGGTGTGGTTTTTTTTTTTTTTTTAATCTCAGCTATTGGGGGGCTCAAAAGCAAACCAACTGGGCCAGCATGAAAGTGGGAAACAGTAGGGTTTTGGGTAGCACTGCTAAATCATCAGAAGGTTTCTCATTAAATGGAATTACCATCCCTCTTAAGTATCAGCGAGCTCAAATCTGTTGCCTGGCAGATGTCCTAACTAAGAGCATCTCAGTTAACTGGAGTGAATGGTATTGTAAAGACAAGCCTAGGACCTTACAAGGACATAGCGTGTTAAGGAAGGATTTTTCAAGGGGTAGCCAATGGGCATGCCATCTCAGCTGATTTAAGCCACTTCACCATGTCCTGATTTGGAAACTCAATAATATGGAGCAATAAATCTCTCCGACAGCTGAGAAAAAGCATTCCCCCTGTTCTTTTAAATTGTATTTATAAAGCACCTTCAATCTTTTAGTAATAGGATCTGGCTAGTAATTGTAAATAGCCTTCTGCTGCATGGGCTTCCAGCGTGATGGGCCATTCCAGCTGCTTTCCTTCAACTGTGCTGCTGCACATGCCGATTGCAATAGTATGAACCCAAGAGACCCTGACGTTTTGCCTACACATGCATTCATGTGCTCTCATGTTCCAGCTCCATCAGGGTGTGAAACAGCATATCCATGCAGGTGCTGTGCTCAGGTGGATGGCACTCAGTCATGGAACTCACTCCTTTGTAATAATGCTCCGCCAGCTCTCTGCTCCTCAGGATTTCTTCTCGGTTTGTGTCTATCTCTCTATCCAGTCTATGTAAAACCCCATGGCTATCTATTATCTCTGGACGCTCTTGCTGCATGAGTGTTCAGCCCAAAACAGCTGCTGTGGCAGCAGGTGACATTTACTTGTATTGATAAGTTCTTGTTTGAGAAGAGGGGTGTGATACCTTTTCATGACATTGTGGAGAGACCATACCCCGTCTCTTACCATTGTTGAAATTAAAGCTACTTCCGCTCTTGTTCCACGCTTGAACTCTCCTCAATCCACTCATACCGGCCCCATTCATTTGAAATTGTGCAGATGGAATTTTAATGCTGGGCATAAATACACTATCCTGGAAAGCTTCAGGCAAATGGGCCCAGGCTTTTGGAAGCTCTGAGTGTCTAAAAAAAGTAGTGAGAGCTGCAAGTGCTTAGCCACTCTGCAATTTGGCCTAAGGTAGCTCAAGTTGGGAACCCAAACTCAGTGGCCACTGTTAAAATAGGAACCTGAGCAATTTGCTCCTGGGTACTGTCGTAGATGGGGTTGGGCACAGGAGTGGCAGTCTGGAGATGTGGCTTCTAATCCTGCCTTTGACTCCCACTGGCTTTGTGACCTTGGGGAAGTTGCTCAATTTCTCTGTGCCTTTTCCCTCCATCGGTAAAATGGCAGCAAAGGAAGCAGTTTTGTGGCAGAGTTCTGGACTGAGATTCAGGAGATGTAAGTTCAATGGCAAGAGCCTAGTGAGTGAGCTTCGGCAAAAAATGAGTCACAAGGTAACAGCGGCAGCAGCTGAACTGAGCAAAAAGGGTAAAAAAGGCTTAAAAAAAACTAAAACATTACAGTATACTGTATACAGTATGTACAATAAAAAGGGTTAAGAACACTTTATATACAGTATATAATGTATACAGTATATATATAACCTGCTTATAGTACCTCCTGCTAGTCCGGGATATCTGATATTCCAGCACCACCTAAGTCCCATAGGTCCCGGGTTATCGGAAGTCTACTGTACTTATAGGGTACGTCTAGACTACATGCCTCTGTCGCCAGAGGCATGTAGATTAGGCTACCAGACATAGGAAAATGAAACGGCGATTTAAATAATCGCCGCTTCATTTAAATTTACATGGCTGCCGCGCTGAGCCGACAAACAGCTGATCAGCTGTTTGTCGGCTCAGCGCGGCAGCCATGTAAATTTAAATGAAGCGGCGATTATTTAAATCGCCGTTTCATTTTCCTATGTCTGGTAGCCTAATCTACATGCCTCTGGCGACAGAGGCATGTAGTCTAGACGTACCCTATAAGTACAGTAGACTTCCGATAACCCGGGACCTATGGGACTTAGGTGGTGCTGGAATATCAGATATCCCGGACTAGCAGGAGGTACTATAAGCAGGTTATATATATACTGTATACATTATATACTGTATATAAAGTGTTCTTAACCCTTTTTATTGTACATACTGTATACAGTATACTGTAATGTTTTAGTTTTTTTTAAGCCTTTTTTACCCTTTTTGCTCAGTTCAGCTGCTGCCGCTGTTACCTTGTGACTCATTTTTTGCCGAAGCTCACTCACTAGGCTCTTGCCATTTTGATGCCAGACTATCAGGAGTGCCGGACTATTGGATGTTAGACTATTGGAGTTTTACTGTATTAGTAGGCTCCCCTTGCAGCTATACATGTGGGAGAATGAACATCTCTTCCCCTACCTTGTACTGCTGTCTTGCACAGAGCCTGTGACAGGAGACTTTCAAAGTATAGACACCAAAAGAATAAGATAATGTCTGGCCATGGTATTCTCAGTGGAGAGAGAGAAGCAGACGTGCTGAAAATGAGAGGGAAAGGAGGGACACACCATAGCAACATGATAGCTGACATATTTAGGCTGCCTGGAATCATCAGTTCAAATCCCAGCAGGCTCAACTCCACTATTCTTCTATGAGCGAGGTAGATTTCCATTCTGTTTGCTGTGTGGATTTGTCAGGGAGGGACTTAAAAGCTGAAAGTCTTCCTGCTATGAGTGGCCATTAAGGAGCCCACAACATATTTTGGAAAAAATATTGACAGTTGCTCTAGTGTTTGCTGTATTAAATGCCCCCTGCCTTCCAGTATTTTGTGGGCTTGTTGGCTGCTGCCCTAAGCCACAGAGGCTCCTGCTGCTGCTGTATCTACATAATTGGCAAAGCACTTTGGGCTGAAAGATGCTAGATGCTTGGAAATTATGACTCTTAAGTGTGTTCTGCTTTGTTGGGACTTGCTGAATCAGGGCAACCATTCTACTGGGAAGTCTTCCAGGAAACTGAGGACTGGTAATACAGATGCTTCATTAGGACTTTGTTCCCAAGAATCAGATATCACGGGACTCATTAGGCTGATGCCAAAATGGTGATACATTTTTAGCCAGGTGCCAGATGCTTGTGAAATTCGAAATTCTGGTATTTCAAATCCAGGAATTGCCAAATAAAGATCAAAGGGTGTGTTTTCCTGGGGGCTTACTGAACCACAGTACCCAAAAGCTCTGCAAGGTCTCATCCCAATCTGTGTTAGTTATTCCCTCCCTGAGTGCTGTTGTGTGCCCCAAGGAGCAGAAGTTGGGCTCCTCAGGGCCCGGTGCCATATTGTGGAGCAGCAAAAGAAGGCATGTGCTGAAACCTACCCACCAGTTGTGTGCTACATTCTCACCATGTAGATCTGAGTGACGAGACCAGGTGGAGCATAGTGTTGGTAGAATTTATTCTCTCTAATCGAAGTTGAGACTCTTCTACGCCTGCCTTACTAGCACAGAAACCAGCACTCCCACTCATTTGGTCACACTCATCATAATCTTTTTTCCACATGCACATCGCAATGCCCTAAGCAGAATGGGCCTGTCTAAATGAAATGGTTTTAGGTTGGCAGAAGAGATTAGGGCTTGGGGTGAAGATATATTTTGTCTGGTTTTGGGTGCTCCTCATTGGCCAGTTCGATGGTTGTTACAAACTCCACCAAAACCAGAGTTCAATTTCCAAGCCAATCATGAACTCAAGGAAAGCTAGGAAATTCAAAGTTAAGGTTATGGTGGAAAGAAAAAAAAAAGCCAAATATAGAAACAGAGTTAAGATGCATCAAATAACCTTAACTCAGACCTTGTATTCACACATACGCCCATTACATGGTGCAAAGCTCAGCATACAGATGTGTCCACATCCCCCTTCTCCCTACCCCATACCCCGGTTACTGCTACCTGCTTGACCAGAGTCTAGCCTCTATCTCCATTAGTCTTTGGTGAGAACACATGTTTTGCCTCGGAACAGAGGAAGTGTATCCTTGCAGTGTGAGAGACTGACCAAGATTTGTTTCCGTTTCTGTCCGACTTCCTGGGCAACCTTGTGAAAAGTCACTGAAGGACTTTCTTCCTTTTTTCATCACACTAAGGAGTCTCTTGTTCTGGAAGTAGTCTTACTGCCTGGCTTTACACTAAGCTTTGTAGCAAAATTAAACTGGAGGTAGGCAGGATGAGGACATTTTGTTTAGTGTAAACACAACCATTAAGAAGACTCCTGGGTTAAAGTACTAAATGTAAATAAGATTGGCCTTTAATTCCTGGGCTTGTGTACTCCTCTGTAAAATGGGGATGATACTTATCTACCTCACAGGTAGACTGTGCTGCAGAGTTCATGGTTTAGTATAAAATGCTGAGGTCAACAGCTGGACATCTGTAACAAGCACAAAGTGATGCTGCCATTACACTTCATCTGCACATCACAGACGTAGCCAGCTCCTATCCTGTATTTCCCTCACATCAGGTACTGCAAATCTTATAACCATTTTAAGCCTTTACTCTCCATGCTAGTTGGGCCTCCTCTGGCACAGGATATTTTAAACCCTTGCAAATAGGCTAAATATATGTTCCTCTGGATACGATTTCAGTTGTCTGCAGCAGTGTGACAATGATGCCTAACTTCTAGCCTGAGTCAGCAAGGCATCCAGCCTTTAACATTTCATTTAGCTGTGATACTATAATATTTGATTGAACATCGGCCTTCGGTAGGGGCTTATTGTGTTAGGGAGATGAGGGCAGAGTTGGAGTTGGGGCAGTTTTTCTGTATTTCTCTACATTTGGGATGTTTTTGATGTGTAATCTTAAATCTTCTACTCTGAGATTGGGGCCTTGAATACTGGTTGGCACCTTTAGGTGCTATTGGAGTACAGATAATTATGTTAAAGTCTGAATTTCCTGGCTTACCTGGCCTTTTGTGGGTTTTTTTCAAATGATAAAATTCTCTTACGGTCTCTTTACCTGTTTGCAGTTTTGAATCTGCTTGAA